TGCTGTGTGTGTGTGTGTGTGTGTGTGTGTGTGTGTGTGTGTGTGTGTGTGTGTGTGTGTGTGTGTGTGTGTTTCTGTCTGTCTGTCTGCTCTCTCTCTCTCTCTCTCTCTCTCTCTCTCTCTCTCTCTCTCTCTCTCTCTCTCTCTCTCTCTCTCTCCCTCTCTCTCTCTCTCCCTCTCTCTCTCTTTCTCTTCCGTACAATATGCTTTCCAATACTATTTCTCCAACCTGCGTAGACACAGAGATACTTAATTAAAACCATGAGACAAAGAGTACGCAGAATACATGAAATCTTTTAAACACTAAGCTGGGAAATGATCTGAACTGATCCTTCAACTACTTTATTTTATAAAAATCAAAACTTAACTTCATGACTCCAATTAACACACATTATAGCCAATATAACCGTACGATATAACAATCTACACGATCACATACCAACGAGAGAGAAACAAAGACAATTACTAAACAAAACATCATACAAGCACGAATCAAGCACGAAATGTTAACAAAAAAAACATACATTCAGGTGATAAACAAGGGTGACACTTAAATTCTTTTTTTTTTTACACTTCATAAGTGTGAGGAGGCTGGGTGACATGGATGATTTGCATAATTGCGAGGGTGAGGGAAAATAAAAGATAAATAAAAAGTGGTAATTCTTAATACATAGAAGAAAAGAAAGAGAAAGAGATAAAAAGAAAAGAAAGAAAAAACATTTAAAATAGAGGAAGTATAAACAAACAACAGAATGTTTACAAAAGGTGTAATAACAAGGGGAGAATAAGCTAAAAAAAAAAAAAAAAAAGGGAAAGGTGTTTATAAAGAATTATAAAACAGATGCACCAATAATATTAAAAACAGCTGTTCAGGGTACTAAGTCAAGGGTCCAGAGTACACTATATCTTGGAACAGGATGCGTGGAAGTCGGGAAATTGCCTGTCTGGGTTTGTAATAATAATAATAATAATAATAATAATAATAATAATAATAATAATAATAATAATGATAATGATAATAACAATAATAAAAATAATAATAATAATAATGATAGTAATAATGATGATAATAATAATGATTATAATAATAATAATATAAGTGATAATAATAATAAAATAGTAATAATGATGATAATAATAATGATTATAATAATAATAATGGTATTGATAACAGTAATAACAATGATAGTAATAATAATACTAACAATAAAATAAGAATCATAATAATAATAATTATAGTGATACTTACAATGATAATGATATTAACAACAGTGATAATAGTAACAATAATAATAATAATGGTGATAATGATAGTAACAACAAAAACAATAATAATAATCATAGTATCGATTATAATTAATAATAATGACAGCAACAATACTGACAATAATAATAATAATGAAAATGATAACAATAATAATAATAAAAATAATAATAATAATAATAATAATAATAATAATAGCAATGATAATAATAATAATAATGACACTAATGATAATAATAATAATAATAATAATAATGATAATACTAATAACAATAATAATAATAATAATAATAATGTCAGTGATAATCATCTGTTATCAGTACCAGTAACACTAATGATATTTATAGTGACAATAACAGCAGCATTAATAACAGTAATGTCATCTATATTGTCAATATTACCATTATCACTGTAACTACTATCACATGCAATTATCCATAACAATAGTAAAAAAATAATGATACTCATACTAATGACATGTTACTAATAATAATGATAATAATTACAATTGTATCACATCAATAATTAAACATTTCATGAAACATTAATCAATTGCAATAATAACAATGACATTAATAATAAACAATGAAATCAAACTAAGAATAATGCTGTTGTAATACCGATAACTGTCATAATAATCATAACAAGAAGAATCGACTGCAGAACTAGGCTTAAATATTCAAGAAAAAAAACGTTGAAGAAAGACAGGAAAAAGTATAATAACAATCAGGCAACCTCTTCTGACCAGGGTATATACATTAGCCTGTATTACTACTTCTAAGGCATATATAGATATATAAACACATCTATGGGGGAATAAGGGTCAAACTGCCTTTACACACAGGGTCAAAGTATCCTAACTTACGTGGTGGCTTGGGGCACTCTGGCAAAACTGGTAGAATAAACAGGTTAGCAACGATATATTATACTGTAGGAATCCTATGCCTCTACAAATCCTATAGATGCTTAGATTTACGCACTGTATATTCCCTTAGATCTACGTTCAGTGTTTGGTTGTATTACTCTATTGATTTAGGGACAAACGCCATGTTAAGTTTGCATCAATAGCATCCATGGGAACAAGGAGTAACATTGAGAGAAAGATATATAGATGGATGGATAGACAGACAGATTAATAGATAGATAGATAGATAGATAGATAGATAGAGAAAGAGAGAGAGAGAGAGAGACAGAGACAGAGAGAGAATGAAAATGTACGGGGGAAAACGAGACAAT